TGATGCTATATTTTTCTACTTTGAGTCTAAGTTAGGAACTTTGATGTCTAATTGTTTGTATTAAGATTGTTGTTTGCTGGAACTACTACCTTCATTGTAACTGATGGTTCATTAAGACATTAACTGATTGATATGTCTTTTATATATTACTACCTCCGTCCTTAACTATTAGAGCTAGTTGACTAATTTGAGGAGATAAAAAAAAGAAGTTAAGTTAGTTATTTATAACAAATAGGTATTGTTTTTCCTAAAATATTCTTATTAATCAAGTGTATTGGCTAAAACTACCATTGTTAGAAGGATTACTTTGGGAAAAAATACGAAAATATGAGAGACAAAGTGGGTTGGGGTCTTATATTTAGAACCAAAATAAAAGTCAAACAAGGTCTTATATTAAGGACCGGAAGTAGTATATAGGAAGTTTGAGTTCATGTTGTTTAGCGTGTGTGTGTGAAAGTCAGCTTTAAGGATATCTAGCTTTAAAAAAGAAGGGGCGGAGGGAGAAGTCATTTTCAAAATTGAATATGTTGGCGAAGACAGACAATGAATGAAGTAAACAAAGTAACTATAAAATTCTGCTTTGACCCTTTTTGGCTTATGAATAGATGAAATCAACCCTAGCTGCTGATTTGTTGTGTCTTCTTTTTCAATTTCTTTTTTGTCTTTGGCAGATTTTTTTATGAATCAATTGTATCAACTGGTTTGCTATGAATTGTGCTCTGTATCTGTATTTTTGTATCAAATACCGATGTAATTGTCTTCTTTTTTGTTGGCTTATTTCTCAAGTTGTTAAATTTAACAACCAAAAGTAGTTTTGTGTATTGATATATCTTTAAAACATGGTCCCTTGAATTATATAATGTTTGCAGCAGCTTAAAACATGGTCCCTTGAATTGTATAATGTTTGTAGCAGCTTAAATGGATGAATGGATGATCAACCTTCTATTACATTCCCATCCCCATCAGTTGATGGAATATCTCAAGGTTTTTTTTTTTTTTCCTTTTTGTATTTTTTTCAGATGTTTCATCTTTTTGTCAACTTGTGGACTATGGAGATTGATGCAAAGTTGCAAACCATTTGAATTTCAAAGCTTTAATTACAATTTTGAGAGTTGCCTTGATTTTAATTGAATAATTGATTATGGATGTTATTTAATTCTTGTAGTATGGATACTTGTTAAGATTTATTTTAGAATATTTGAATGTGCGGAAATATAAAATTATGAAATGTATTTTTCAGGCATAAATGAAAATGTTTTCATATATGATTTAGGTAGGGTGACACCAATGGGTGGGGAAGCCTGTCTTGCCCAACCTGCCTATGCCTAGGCCAAAATGGTTAGGGCATTCACGCGAAGGGCTGGGCAGCTAATGAAAATGGGAATGATGGGGTAATTAACTGTACTTTTCGCTATAATTCAAAAGGCAGAGGGAGATGTGACGGTATTTGATGAAATGGGGCATTTAGCTGTAACTTTTGCTGAAAATGAAAAAATTATCAGATTGAAAGTTCATCAGAGGGTGAATGAGTTTCTGCTCTTTTTATTTTAAAAATATAGATGTCAGAGTGAAAGTTCATCATGGCCTAAATGATTTCTAAAAAATGCAGCATATTGGGAAATAGTTTTCATAGTGTAGCATTTGGGTAATTATTTTTACTGTCTACAATTGTGCAAATTGTCTTTTCTATGCAACTCAACTTCTCTTACGTGTCTGGTTTAAAAAAAAAAAAAAATTCCTTATGTGCAATTTATCTTTTTTTGTATAACCTATCATTCGAGGAACTATTTGTCAATTAATTTTCTAAACCAATTTTTTTTAACTTAGTTATTATTAAATCCATCTTTTTATCATTTCGAGAGAAAGCTTAGCAACCCTAAGTGAGTGATCCCCTGCTGCTCTCCGGCTCCAACATTCATTGTCTCACTGCCCAGCCCTTCTCTTGTCTCTCGCTGTCGTCACAGGGCTCACACTCTTACACTCTCTTGTATTCGAGGTTTTGTGCAGTTTTTTGTGTGTGTCCATTATCTTTTATTCCTGTTGCTATCCTCGCCTCTGTTTCTTCGTCTCATGTGATGATTATCTAGTGTCCTTATATTCTATGATTAAGTCAGAGAAAGAAGTATTCTTTCCAGAAGGAAGTGACTGAATTGAATTTAAACCAACCTCCCTCATTGCTGTTGTGTCAATTTTGCTGGTATTATGATATATTTGCTGCTCAGTTGTTTGTGTGTGTTTTCTTTTTTTTTTTAGTTGCTGGATCACTTCTGCATATATATGTTTTTGTTGTGGTTCAAACCATTTAGTTTGAGGTTTCTACTTAGTCTTGCGCAGAATCAAGTAACTGGAATACGTGGCACACTAGACAGTTAATTGCTGTTTGGGATGAATATGGATTTCAATGCCATTGGAGATCCTACAGACAAGCTCAAGGGTGTCCGAATCTCATCCCTTGATGATGACGACGATGAAGAGGCCCTTGTTGACAATGAGCATGAAGATTATGACTCTAACGATGAGGAGGAGGAGCAAGACCCTATTACTTTAGGTTTCGTTGAGAAACCTAAAAATAAATGGTCTCTTCAACGGCAATATTTTCCCAGCAAAGCTGGAGGTGCCCCGGTAATTGCATAATTTAGTCAAATTCTCTTATGCGACTGTATGTATATTGTGGTATAAGAAGAAGCTATTCAAGCCTTGCATATTTTGAAAAACAAATAAAAGTTTTTGCTGGCGAAACACTAATTCATGATTTGACGGTTTTATCTGTTTATAAATAGGCCTGGCTTGACCCAGTGAATATACCACCAGGAAGGTCATGTATGTGTGACATATGTGGAGAGCCTTTACAATTTCTTCTTCAGGTAGGATTCTTTTCGAAATTGTAGTTTTATGAAGCTTTTGTCTTTCTCATAAGTTTATGCCTTTCTTGAGCAATTTTCCTCTGTATTGTTTATTTGGTCACCAATATTTATTTCCAAGTGTGATGAAATGTATCCTTAGTCTTCGAATTATCTGTAAATTGTTCTTACATCTTCCTTAATATGTGTCTATTTGTCTGAGTTTTGCTAGTGGATGATAGTTTTCTTTAATCTTTGAACTACAAGGTTTATGCGCCAACTGAAAAGGAAAGTACATTTCACCGGATGTTATTTGTTTTCATGTGTTCTTCAATGAAATGTCTTCTTCGGGATCAGCATGAGCAATGGAAACGCCATCCAGATAAGCCATCTAGAAGGTACTGCTAAACTATTCTTAATCTCTTTTCTTTGAGTTCTTTGGTCAATTTTTGTTATATAAGGGACAAATTCTCCTTTTTACTTCGTTTTCCTGTTGATTAGTTCTAATTATGCTATGCACTCTGAAGTGTGAAGGTTTTCCGTTGCCAGTTACCTCGTGATAATCCATTTTACTCTAGTGAACGTCCGAAAAATGATGGGAGTGACAAACCCGTTGGCATTGGAGGTCAGTTTTACTCAGCTTCTTCCCCCCCCCCCTCCTGTTAAGGAAAAAATCTATTTCTTTTTGCTAGACTACCCTCAAAACATTCTCACGAAAATTTTATTTTGAGAATTCATGCGAGTTTTAACTTCTTTTTTCTACACACATGGAAGCAAAATTGGCTACCTTTTAAAACAGAAGAAAGTGATTTTTTGCATTTATGAATGTTTTGGGGGATTGAGAATAAATTCATAACTATGAAGAGTTACCGTGTTACCCTTGGAATTGATAATTTGTTATGGCAGGGTGATTGAATGCTCCTTTGGGGCTGTACTTGTTGGGTTTCTTAGTTTATGTTGAACTATAAACGGTATTTTCCCCAACTGCATGCTGATGGGGCAAGTCATTGAAAGAATCCAGCGGGAATTTAAATGACTTTATGATTCACATGCCAATTGCCATTTTTCTTTCTGCTTAATGTTACATCTCAACCTCAATGAAGTCAAAATTATTAGACTGAATGAGTTGCTCATTACTTTGCTGTCTTTGGTGCTGCAACTTCTGCCTGCAATTTTTAAACTAAATATATAATGACAATCTGTATTAGCAACATTCATCTATATATTTATGAGTGGATTAACTCCTACTAATGCCTCTAGAAGTGATTGGAATAAATGAACGAACAACATGTTGAGCAGCTTCTTTTTGCTTTAAGACAATGTTTTGATTATTTTTCGCACTTTGAACTTTTAGCTGCTCTATGCGATTGGTGTGTTACATGGAAAGGAGATAAACTCTGCAGTAGCTGTAGACAAGTGCGGTATTGCTCTGAGAAGCACCAGGTAATTTTGCTCTACTTTTAGTTCTCTGTTTATAAATTTGATTACTGAAAAATTCAACTTTCAGGTCAGCCATTGGCGCTCTGGTCATAAAATTGCTTGCCCGCAGATGAAAATTTCTGCTCAAACAGCTACATCTGGACCAAACAATTGCAGAACCATTTCAGTGGAGTCTAAGAAAGGTTGGTGGTCTAGAGCTTGTGAGACTATTACTGGGCATAAATGATTGTTAAGAATGAAAACTGTGGTGACATCTTTGAAAACTCATGGTATGAAGAAACTAATTATAAAGATGATCACCGTAAGGTATAAAATTGTTATAAACTATTAAAGAAAAGCAAGTTGTACAATGTTCATCGAAAAAAGGAAAAAAAGTTGTACAAGCATGCATTATAGAGAGCTATTGTGAAAAGGCATTCTTGTGATATTTACATTGTTGCAAGTTCAACTCAGAATCGTTCTTTACAATGCAGATGCTAGCAACACTCTTTGGCCCGAATTTGAGATCATTATTGAAGACGAAAGTGATAACAATAACCCTGACATTTCTGAGAGCAATGCTTTAACTAGTTCTTTGATATCAAAGAACAGAACTGATGACACAATGAATTCCATATTGGAGAACTTTCAGGTATTGCCTCAAATTCACCTGTCATTGATGGTATAGTTTATATGCAGCTATGTTGTTTGCTAAGGTTTTTTTGTTTTTGGCCTGTAAACAGGGTGATGATGACAAAAAGAGTTGGGTCTGCTTCCAGGAGCGTATTAGTTCAGCCCCTGAACAAATATTGAGGTGATTATTGCTTGACTGGTTGAAATTCTGTTGGATAATTGTGCTTCCAGCACCACAGAAATGTTTGGCAAACAGGTTATACTGTGTCTTGGTGTGACCGATAAGCCTGAAAGTGAGATATTTTTTACCTGACTGGTCTATCCTAGCTTGTATGATACTTATATTGTGAACCGAGTGATGGTTTTGACTATGCTGCAATACACTATCTGACCATTATTCACATGAATGTTCGGCTCACTGTGTTAGAAACTTGGATTGCCCAATTTAAAATGTCTCCACCTGTCAATACCGTATGTAGTGGCAATAAAAGATGTGATGACAAACATGGATGTGTTTTACCCATCTTAGAAAAATTTGGCGAGGCTTGCCCCTTTTCATTGTAATACCCTTTTTTATTGCATTTTTAATAGCTTATTTATTCTGGCGACAACAGGTATTATCGAAATACTAATGCAAGACCCATATGGCCTGTTTCAAGTGGTCGACCGTCTAAAGCTGATATCCCTAAATGCAATTACTGTGGTGGTTCAATGTGTTGTGAGTTTCAGGTAAGGTTTTTGAGGATTCATTGATAGAAACTCAATGAATATAGTCCTTAGGTCCTTATTTGACTGACTTAGACAGATCAAGAGAGTTAAATAAATTAGTTAATTATAACAAATATGATTTAATCTTCCTTAAAATATCCTGGACTTATATTATAGTATATATCAAGTAAATTAGTCTGGAGAAAAATGATAAATATAAAAAAAAACGAAGTAGATTGAGGACTGGAAGACTACTAATTTGTCATTCTTGTTACGGAAGTTACTGATTTAAAAATGTCGTTGGTGCCAGATTCTGCCACAGCTACTCTATTACTTAGGTGTCGACAATGAAGTGGACTCTATAGATTGGGCATCAATTGTGGTGTACACATGTGAAGCATCTTGTGACTCAGATGTGGCTTACAAAGAAGAATATACTTGGGTTCAACTTTACCAACCTTCCACCACCTGACATCACTGTTGAAATATCTATTTTTCCATTTTTTTTAATAGAGGAAGTATGAGATAGAAATATAGTAACGTAGCATCAAAAGAAAATTTTGTATTATAATAGGATATTGATTTTGTTATTGAGAATATTCAATTTTGGTTCATATTTATTCCGATAATCACTGCTCATGATAACATTGGTTTGAAGTTGTCTACAGCTTATATCTATTTTGAATCCCATTTGGTTTACTGTAAAGGTGGGTTAATCATGTGAGGATAATTATGCTTAAAATAGCAGCTTTAGATTAGGTGTGCTCGGTTAGAAAGGGAATTTTTTAAAGGATAATTTTTGTCAGCTAGTCTTGTAATTAGAATGCAGTTGGCTAAAATATATTATTTCCAGTTGTTAATATGAGATTCAGTAGATTAAGATAGTTAATAAATTACAAATTTATATTTATTTACCATTTTTTTCTGCTTATCATTTTTTATAAATTTACATGTAATTTAATAATACATATAAGTATAATAAAAAGATCATGTAATAATGTAATATATATTATAATTAAGTAATTTAGTTATTTTTTTAATTTTTTCAAATTAGTTATTTAGATCTTATATTAAGGGTTGAATGAAGTATTGGTTGATCGTATGATAGTATTTACAGAGTGAAAGCATGGATATAAAAAGAATCAAAGAAAGCTAGGTTTTGTATGCTAAAGCAATGGATATGTTAAAATGTTTATACTATATTAATTATACACTTGTAATTTCTTTTTTTTTTTGGGCATCGAATTATATACAGGGAGTTTATTTCATACTTTATGTGGATATAATTTTTCAGCCACCTTCTACATAGGGAAAATGACATATAAAGAAGTTTGAAAATATGAAATGCCAATTTGTGAAGCTAAGAAAATGTAATGACAGAGAGGGAAGTACTTTCCAAATTGGAATTTTGAAAGTTAGTAAAATGTCAAAAATACCCTTTGTTTTTTTTTAAAAAAAACTCAGCCCCTCACCAGTGGTCAGCAGTTGGCAGCTGCCGCCGGCCACCGGTGTGGTGGCTGTCGGTGGAGTTTGTTTATAACAGTTTTTTTTATTTTTCATTCATGGGAGAATATTGCAAGAAATGGTGGGGGTGGGATTTGACCCACAACCTTTGGCCATTTGGGCCAACAAAAAGATAAATGACCATTACGCTATCAAAAACTTCTTAACTTTATAATACAAATAAAAATATAAGTTGACTCTTTTACTTTGACTCCAGCCCGTGACAACAATTTACCTAAGGATGACAAGCCTTAATTGAGGAATAACAAGTCTAAATTTGATATTAACAAAACAACTTTTTCTGATACACAAGAAGTAGCATGTACATTAATGAAAAATGACCATAATTTATTTGAAAATGACACATCTTTACTGGAAAATGACAAGTCTAAACTTAAGATTAACAATGTGTCTTTTCCTGATATATTACAAAAAATAGCATGTACTTTAATTAAAAAGGACACGTCTTTACTATAAAATGACACGTCTTTCGTGAAAAATGACAACAATTTATTTGGGAATATACATGTTATTTCTTGTTATATATCAAGAAAAGACATTGTTAATTTCAAGTTTAGACTTGTCATTTTCTAGTAAAGATGTGTCGTTTTCAAATAAATTATGATCATTTTTAATTAATGTACATGCTAGTTCTTGTTATGTATCAGGAAAAGACACATTGTTAATCTCATATTTAAATTTGTTATTTTCCAATAAAGACGTGTTATTTTTAAATAAATTGTCATTTTTAATTTATGTACATGCTACTTCTTGTTATATATCAGGAAAAGTTCCTTTGTTAATATCAAATTTAGACTTGTTATTTCTTAATTAAGACTTATCATCCTCAGGTAAATTGTTGTCACGGGCTGGAGTAACAGTAAAAAAGTCAACTTATATTTTTATTTGCATTATAAGATTAAAAAGTTTTTGATGGTCCAATGGTCATCTATACTTTTGTTCGTCCAAATGGCCAAGGGGTTGTGAAATTAAATCCCACCCCCACAACTTCTTGCAATATTCTCCCATGCCAAAAAAAAAAAACTTTTACAAACAAACTCCACCGGCAGCCACCACACCGGTGGCCGGCTCCCAGTCGCCCGCGGTGGCTGCCAACCGCTGACCACTAATGAGGGGCTGGGTTTTTTTTTTTTTAAAAAAACAAAGGGCATTTTTGTCATTTTACTGAATTTCAAAATTTTAATTTGGAAAGGACTTCCCTCTCTGTCATTACATTTTCTTAGCTTCTCAAATTAGAATTTCAAATATTCTATCTTCTTTATCTGTCACTTTTCCTTATACATATGCGTGCGGTTTAAAAAATTGTTCCTTATAATATTGGCTTTTCTATTATAAAAGTAGGCACATGTCCGAGGTACATCATGCAACTCAAAGTAAGTTGATCAAATGATTGAAACCGGGGATCGATGAGATTTTAAAAAAAAAAACAATGAATACATGGAAGTAATTAAACCTATCATACTATGCAAGTAATAAGTAATTGAAATTGAGTTCAATGAAAAGGGCTAACTCTCTCATTGTGCTAAATTAATATTTGAGTTTTAAAAGATGTGCTCAACTTCTAAGTAAGCAAAATCTCTAAAAAGTTAATAATACCTCCTGTCCTTATAGTAATACAATTAGATAACTAATTTAATGATATTAAAAAAATTAGTTAAGTTAGTTATTTGTCACAAATATATGTTGATTTCTCTAAACTACTCTTCTGGTCCTAAATATAAAACCACTTTGCAATGTAAATTACATTGCAAAGTGGTCTTATATTTAGGACCAGAGAAGTATTATCTCTAATCTTGTGTATTAAAATACTCTTTAATAGGAATCTTTCATAATCAATATGAATATTTTGAGAAGAATGCAAGACAAAGCAAGTTGAATTTTTATATTTAAGACTAAATCTAACTCATAACTAGTGACTAGAGGTAGTAGTTAAGAACATGTTAATTCTAATGCAGAATATTTTTACTATTCGGATTAAGAAAGGGAAAGGAAGAAAGAGTTAGTACAGGTTAATTGCTTTGTTCCTTCATCCTTCTGAAGGCTACCAAAACATTGAAATATAAATAACAATTGCAAAGTTATTAATTATAATTATATTTGAGAAAGATTATATGAAGCAAAAGATAAAGTATAGCATTTATATCAATAAATACATACTTCCACATTAGGTTATAACCAATTTGACGTTAAAATTAATATTAATTATTGTAAGTTCTGCGCATTTATGAACAATAAGTTATATTATGGATAAAACTTAGATCCCTTTGCTTATATTTATTAGATCCCATTCTCTAATTAAATCTCGTCATGTATACTTTTCTTAATAACAAAGTTTGGATAGGTAACATTTTAAAACTCTATTAGACTGTTATTAATAATAAAAGTCCTTACATTTATATACTCCTCTGGTTCTTAATATATGACCTAATTATTAAGTTAATTTTGACCATAAATATAAGATCTATTTCTTATACTTATCAATTTTTTTCTAAATTACTATTATTGATGCTCTCTCAATTATAATCAATTAGAAGAGGGAGAGGGGATGATTATAATCTTTTAAGAAAAACATGCTATATTTTTTATAATTAACTAACTTACCTAATTTCATTAATATAATCAAATTAGTTAAATAGATCTTATATTAATGACAGGAGGAGTATTATTTAGTACGTATGATTTATAAATAATATAACTTAATAATATTTTTAAATTATATATATTAATAAATTGATTAATATCAATGGATATATATATTTAAATTCATATTTTTGTCGAGCAAGTCACAACTAATGTCACACTTCAGCCTGCAAACATTTTAGTGTTCGCCAACTCAAAAAAAAAAAATCATATTCTTATTTATCAGTGAGTCCATCACATAATGTAATCTTATATAAATATATATATATATATATAAAACATAAAGATTCTACAATAAATCGTTTTACTTA